AGAAAATTGTCAATAAAAAGACAATTTATTTGAAAGAGAATAAATGAGGGGATTTTCGGTACCTGTGACAAGTTTACATTCATTTGTACATTAATATCAGAACTAAAGCTTTGAGATTGAGAATGAAGCACGATTTTTTGAGCTTTATAGCTGAGCCGGCGGGTCCTTTAAAGTCGAAAACTCCTGCAAATCATTTAAATGGTGGCAACACATCCTGCGGGTCGAAAAAGTGAATCAACGAAACGCTATACTGATTTACGATCCCTTGTGCATTTGACATCTGGTATTTTGAGATTTAAAAGATTTCATCTCTATTTCGAAAACGCTAATTACTCCTAATTGCTTCTACATGAATCTCTTTTTCTCTCGCTCTCTTTCTATTTTTAAAATCTCCCTTAACATATTCATTTTGACATCGATTGTCAAATAAAACTCCCATTAGCACTTCCTGTTGGAAAATTCAGTGATAAATTCTTCTCATTGATTTTTGGAAACTCTGTTTTTCTGAGGGTATCAAATTGAGACAAAAAAAAAATAAATTAAAAGTGTTGCAAGGCTACACTTTTGATTCGTTTTTTGTCTCAATTTGATATCTGCAGAAAAAATGTGAATAAATAAAAATTAGGGAATTAAAAACTGAAGTAAATGAAAATTGTTTCTTTTGGTTTTTTTCTTTTTTTGGGTTTTATTTTGAAAAATGGGAATTATTTTGTGATGTGTATTTTTAGAGGGGTAAGGGGAGAAATAGAATTCTTTTGATGAATATTTGAGATTTGTTGAAACGCGAATTTTCGGGAGCAATGGCGACACACGACGCCCTATCGATCACAATGGCGTTCTGGCGTCGAGGCGTCACCCTTTTTTAGCGCAAGCGCGCGCAAGTCTTTTAGAGAGAAAGTCGATAAACTTTATTCGGTATTGCATTTTTTGAATAGGGTAAGGGCTTACAATTGCAAAGGGTGAATTTTAATTGGATTCCATGTCAAAGAAGTTTTAATATTTTTTTTAACGTTTATTTTGGATTATGGTCTTAAAAGACTTTGATGGTCAAAATAGCTATTTGCGTTTTTAAATTTTGGCACTTGGGGAAAAATTTTATTTTAATAAATTGAATTGTCGAGTTTGCCATAAATGTTATTATCAGCGTTGTTCACAGGTCAGGGAAATCAGGGAATTAATAAAAAAAAGTCAGGGAAAGTATAAATTTCTTATATACATTATTTAGAGAATAATTTTACTTAAAATTTCAAAAAATATTTAAATTTTGCAAGCGTTGCGTTTGCAATTTTGGTAAAAAATTTAATTTTTAGGTTTTCAATTAAAAATTGATGTAAAACTGATTCTTTGTGTAAACAATATTGAAAATAATTGAAGTGAATTTCTTTTAAACTGTTAAGAATAAAATATGACTTAAAAATTCAAAAAATAATTGAATTTTGGAAGAGTTGCGATTGAAATTTTTTATAAATAATTGAATTTAGAAGGTTTTTATATAAAATTATTGTAAAATTTTAATTCTCGTGGGAAAAATATTGACAATAATTCAACTGAATTTCTTCAAATTATTTAGCAAAAAATTTTACTTGAAAATTCAAAAAATAATTGAATTTTGGAAGAGTTGCGTTCGCAATTTTGATAAATAATTGAATTTTTAGGTTTTCAATTTAAAATTATTGTAAAATTTTAATTCTTCTGGAAAAATATTGAAAATATTAAAAGGGAATTTCTTTTATTATTTTGCAAAAATTTGTACTTTAAAATTCAAAGAATAATTAGATTTTGGAAGAGTTGCGTTTGAAATTTTTGTAAAAAATTGAATTTTAGAAGGTTTTGAATTTAAAATTGTTGTAAAAATTTAATTGTTGTGGAAAAAATATTGCCAATAATTAAATTGAATTTCTTTTAAATTGTTGAGCGAACAAATTTATTTAAAAATTAAAAAAATAAATTGAATTTCGTCCGCAATTTTGATAAATAATTGAATTTTTAGGTTTTCAATTTAAAATTTTTGTAAAATTTTAATTCTTGTGGAAAAAATATTGACAATAATTGAATTGAATTTTTTTTTAAATTATTTAGCGAACAATTTTACCTAAAGATTCAAAAATTAATTGAATTTTCGAAGAGTTGCGTTTGAAAGTTTTTATAAATAATTGAATTTTATAAGGTTTTGAATTTAAAATTATCTTAGAATTTTAATATAATTTAATTTAATAAAATTTTAATTCTTGTGGAAAAAATATTGACGATAATTGAATTGAATTTGTTTTAAATTATTTAGCAAAAAATTTTACTTAAAAATTCAGAGAATAATTCAATTTTGAAAGATTTACGTTTAAAATTTTTTATTAATTGAATTTAAGGTTTTGTATTTAAAATTATTGTAAAATTTAAATTCTTGTGCAAAAAAATGTTGACAATAAATGAATTGAATTTCTTTTAAATTATTTAGCAAACAATTTTACTTAAAAATTCAAAGAATAATTGGATTTTGGAAAAGTTGCGTTCGCAATTTTGATAAATAATTGAATTTTCAGTTTTTCAGTTTAAAATTATTGTAAAATTATAATTCTTGTAAAAAAAAATATTGACAATAATTGAACTGAATTTCTTTTAAATTATTTAGTGAAAATTTTTACTTAAAAATTAAAAAAATATTTGAATTTTGGAAGAGTTGCGTTCGAAATTTTGTATAAATAATTGAATTTTAAAAATTTCTGAACAGGATAAGGAAAGAAACATTTAGTGGATGCATTTTCCGCTCGCAATGAAACTACTGTTTTCTATCTACTTTTTGAACAAATTTTCGAAAATACACAAAAAATTCTAGAAATTCTAAACGTTAGCTTTGATCTTCTCTAATTTGTGTAAAGATTTATGTACCAATAGTATCAGACCGGTACAATTTTTTTTTTCTTTGACAAAAGTCTGACTTTCCATGAAATAATCTGAAAATTGTTGGGGGTGTTCGTTTTACAATTTGTGTCAAGAGAGAGATAGAGGAAAATAGAGAGAAACACGTCCCAGATTTTTGGGGACCAGTGTATAGTGGAGCAACCCCCTGCGGTGAAAATCGTAAAGGACCGGAAAAAGAGACACAGTAAAGCAAACAGGACGTTAAAGGACGGTCAAGAAATTGACATCTCAATGATCCAGCACGAAACGGTCATTTTGTTCGGGTGGAAGGTGGATATTTACGAGTTTGTCGTCGTGTCGAAAAATGGCACGCAATATTATTATATACTGTACGGAATACAGAAACGCGCAGCAGTTTTTCAATATAACATACAATTGGAAGTTTGGCCCTTTTTGGGTCAAAACGATTTCTAATTTGCAACGCTCCCATACACAAGGCAATTATTCCAATTTCATCCCTTCTTGAAAAATATAACATTGGAAACGGAAACGAAAAAAATTCAGGCTCGAGAATGAAGTGTGCTGTTTATACATGAATCGTTTGGGCTTTTAGTATCGATTATTTCTTACGAATTGAAGACTAGATTGAAGATTTAATTTTAAGTTTAAAAAAAATAATTTAAAGAGATTTAATTTTATTTTTCAAATTATTTTTATTTTTAAGTTTGTTTTTTCTTCATTTTTTGTTTGTTTGTATTTATTTAACTAAGGACGAGTGTATAAGGCTGGGTGTTATCTACAATTTTTTAAGGATATCAAATTGAGACAAAAAAAGAAATCAAAACGTTGCTTCGCAACATTTTTGATTCGTTTTTTGTCTCAATTTAATATCCTTAAAAAACTGAGTACTCGGGTCAATTTTATAGTGAAAAACTTCAATGACTCCTTATTATTTAAATAGGAAATTGTTACTGGGTACTGGACACCCAGCCTTACACCCAGGGAAAAGATATCTTTTACTCAGAGCCAACTAGACTTTTTTTTGCATCAAATAAATTTTTAAAATTATCGTAAAACTTAAATTGTTTATTGAATTTGCAAATTTTTAAAATTATTGTGAAACTTAAATTGTTAATTGAATTTGTCAATTTTTAAAAATATTTGTAAAAGTTAAATTGTTAATTGAATTTGTAAATTTTTAAAATTATTGTAAAACTTAAATTGTTCATTGAATTTTGGAAGAGTTGCGTTTTAAATTTTTTATAATTAATTGAATTTAGAAGGTTTATAATTTTTGGAGTAAAAATTCGCAGAAAAAGAATCATTTGCTATTAGAAATTATATTTTGATGTTCAAGTTTGTATTACATCCAAAATTGTCAATAAAAACTGGTTTAAAATTTACATAATTAATAATGAACTTTTAATTAAGAAAAGTTTAACACAAATATAACCTAAAATTCGTTTACTTCTTAGGATTAGAAAGTTAGTTCTTCTTTTGGAGGAGAAAATTTATTCGAACAAAGGTTTATTTAAAACAATTTATTTGATTGAAATAAAAATTATTCGATTCAAGTAAATATTTATTTAATACTAGAAATTGTTAGAGCGAAAAAATTTATTAATCTCAACCAAATATTTATTTAAAGTAACTAAATATTTATTTGGGTTGAACAAATTATTTAATATAACCTAAAATTTGGATCTACTCGACAAAATAGATTATTTGATTAAAAAATACACTGATAAAAAAGTTATTTGACTCTAGGTTTACTAAAATCTTTGTTTGATTCGAATAAATTTTTTTTGGTTCAAAGAAAAATTTATTTTTAAATTTAATAATTTTAAACAAAATTTGTTATTTAAAACAAATATTACTTTCACTTAACTCTAGTAAATTATATTTTGTTTAGATAAAACTCTGGGTGTCAATTTTCCCTGGGTGTTAATTAAATAATTAATTATTTAGTTAACTGAAATAAATTATATTTTGTTTTGATAAAATTTTGAGTGTCAATAACTTTCTGGGTGTCTATTCCCCTGGGCGTTAATTTTTTTTTATTATTATAATTTATTATAATTATAATTATGTAGTAATATTATTTAAATTTTTTTATTATAATTAAAATGAAAATTTTCAAGTACCTTGCCATGTTCTTTGTCGAAATCGCACTCTCGTGGATCGCCCCCGTAGTTTCCGGAAGCGACACCAAATACGAGCTGTAAATTCGTGCCAGTCGCTGCAAATGCGATTTCTGTGTGTCCTTCTCGACATCCACTTTGAAAACGGACTTGTCTTTCTTCTAGAGGCCTGTCTCGATAACCAGTGTATTTCACCTGAAAATGGAAAAAAATTAAAAAATTATACTATTATAGTCGAAAATCACGTATAGTAACAATTATTATACGTTTATAGTAATAATATAACTATTATACATTTACAGTCAAATAATTTTATTTATTGAAAACTATATTCCAAGTATTTTTTTTTATTTAAAATTTTCTTAAAACTATATTTTGATTTTCTTATTTGGTATAAAAATCAAAATTATTTTTTAATTGTGTTTAGAAAATTGAAAACGACTCTTGTAAATTAAAGGCAGTACAAATGTATTTATGAATTCTTGGAATCATTAAAAAGGGTTAAGTTAGGTCGGCTGTTTTTGAAAATTGGAAATGAATTTCTCTTTGGCTTCCGATGGAGAAGATAATCCCTTCACTTGTTTTCTGCGGTTACCCCCAACGGGGAATTTTATTATAATCCGAACTCTCTTGTGTTCTTGTGGAAAGAGTTGTTGTTCCATTACGAAGTGAATTTAAAAATGAAATTTTTTCTTTGATTTCGAAGGGAAGCAATTTTTTTGGACAATTTCTTTGGTGGAAAAAATGGACATGAAAATTCGAAAATTTGGGTGAGAGAATAAATTTTGAATATTGTTTTCTTTACTGGTAAAAAATAAATTTTACTTTCAGGTCGCTTTTGAGTAGGATCGTTTGGGTTTGAGGTATTTTTGACTTAATTTTAGCCTTGAAAGTATGATTTTATATCCAAAGGAGATCGAGATTTAATGTACAAGATTGAATTTGTGAAAAGTTTGTATTTAAACCTATTTTTGAGTTCAAAACGAAATTGAGTTAATTTTATGACTTAAAATCACACTTTCGAGGGTTTAGCCTCGAAAATTCATTCAAAAGTGGTTCAACTCTGAACTTATCACTGTTAACTTAAAAGTATCAAATTGCAACGAATACCAGAAATGTGGATAAAGAAAAACTAAAATTGATAGAAAGTTTTATTGTCAATTTGATTCAATTTAGTATCAATTTGATACTTTCAAGAAAAATGTGTAGTCAAGAGTGGGCTAAAAGTAAGACTTATTTTTTACAGTACTCGTTGGGGTAAATACTGCCAACAGTTTTGAAATATGTTTCAAAAAGTTAAAAGTAAAATAAAAGAAATTAGCATTTTTCGTTTCGAATGTCAAATTCTTATTCTTATTCTCTTTCTCAATTTCTCTACAGCGAATAAGTCGCATTGAAAAATAAGAAAATGATTTATAAGAGAAGTTTGTCATTTAAAATTCTTATGGGGTAATGCCTACACCTGTTCAAGACTCAAGCAGGCAGCTTTTGACGACGGTTTATAACTGTTCATTCGCAAAGATAATAATCTCACTGGAATTTTATCATTATCCCTCTGTGTATATTATCCAGGGGAGGAGATTTTCTCTTACCTAGGGAAAAATGAATCTTTTGTTGGCTAGTAATCTTTGCGGTTGGAAAGTCAACCACTACAATGAATATTTGATGACCATATTCGTAATCCTATGAAACACCAGATTTTCAAAACCGCAAAGGTTTCAAGTAATCTATTTTGGGGGAGGGATATTTTATACAAATCTGCCAGTGTGAGGTCCTCTCTCTCTCTTCAAGTTATACAGAAGTTTTGGGTTAAGATTTATTTCACATCTCTCGACGATTAACACTTTTAATGCTTGTTATAATGGTAATGAGGAAGCTAATTTGTAATTAATGATGATTAAGTTTTTATTTATTGTCGGAAGTTGACTTTTGGCAGTAAATATCGGAAATTAATTTTTGACACTCACGGAAAAAAGGTTTTTACCTGGAACAGCTGAAAATTTTATTGTATTAGCGAAATTTTCGGTTGAATCATTTAAGACTTTCGCTGTTCCAGAGAAACTTATGGCTGTTTTAGGCGAAAATTTTTTTGTGATAGTTATTATTATTTAGATAAATGAAAATGGGGATAAAATTGATCAAAATTGATTTCGTGGATTTCTAACTCTTGAATTTTAGAGTTAGAGTGAAAAAAATTCGATTCAAATAAATTCAGGGACTTGAATTATTTATTTGCTTTAAATAAATTTTATTCGCTTTAAATAGACAGGCCTCGGATCAACTATAAGGCGCAAAAAATGTCGCTTTAGTCGATTTAAAGTAGAAAAAAAGTCGAAAAAGTCGTTTATTTATCTATCGTTTTATTTTAAAAATTTCTATTTAAAACCTTCTGAAATTTAATAACTTCTAAAAATTAAGACTGTAATTGTCTTAAAATTCAATTATTTTCTTCAATTTTTATTCAAACTTTTTCTCGAAATCATTTATTTTTAATAATTTTCCGAAAATTCTTAGAAAATTCAATTATTTAAATACAAAAATTCAGTTTTTTTGTAATAATTGTAATTGTCCATGTTTTTTAAGTTATTAATTAATTTTCGACAAAATTATAATAAAGAAATTCTTAAAATTAATTTTTTTGAAATATTTTACAAATAAATTCATAAAAAATAATAGTTTTCTAATTATATACAATTGAAATTTGGTAAATTCTATTAAAGAAATAATTAAATTTTTGAATAATTTTATTTTTTAATATAAACGTGATTTCTCTAAAATTTAAATAAATCTAAAAAAGTAAATTTAAATGTAATTAATTGTAAATGTAATGTTTCGAAAAGAATTGAATTTCTTATAAAAATTTTTGTATAATTTAAAAAAAACTAATTTTTCGAAGAATTTTGATTAAAAATTTCGAAAATGATTGTTATGTTGTTAAAGTGTTAAAAATAATTGTAAAAAATTTTAATGCTATTATTTTTTGTATGTATTTGAATTTTTGGAAATTTGTATTTGAAAATATTGAATAAATAATTGAATTTTAAAAAAATAGAATGCAAAAATTCTAAGAATTATTTTTTTCAAATATATTTTAATATAATTTTTAGAAGATAATTTTCATTAATTTCCATTTTTAAATGTACACTTGAAGATTTTCCATTAAAATTTTTGAGAAATCAATTATTTTCAAAATTGTTAATTTAAAAAAAATCAATTATTTTCAATCAAATTAAAGATTATTTCAATTATTGAAACTCGTTTTAATTTTAAATTTTGAAAATTCAATTAGAAAAAATATTAAAAAATAATTTTTGAAGATTTGTCTATTAGTTATTTTTCACACTATATAAAAATCGAAATAAGTTGCATTTTTATACTAAAAATTATTGCAATATTGTGGAAGAAAAGTCGAAAAAGTCATAATATCCGAGGCCTGAATAGATTTTATGTGCTTTACATACATTTTATTTGCTCTAAATAAAATATTTCTCTGGGTAAATAAATAAATATATATATTTGTATCAAATAAATTTGATTGATTATAGTTGATTATGGTTAATTAATTATAGTTGATTAAATGGCATTTGCTTCAAGTACTGAAATCATTAGTTCAAATACAGTTTATTTGTTTTAAATAAAAATTATTTGATTCATTTAAATATTTATTTACTAATGGACAATCAATCGGTTAATTGAGTCAAAAAAATCCTTCTTTCAGTGTATTAATTTGTGTAAATTAACTAATTAATGATAAATAATTAATAAGAATATTAAATTAAACCATTCATAATAACAATTAATATTGGTTATTTAAATACACCCAAAATAAAAGATACATTTGACTCAGAATCTACAAAACTTTTTATTTGTTTTTTTTTTTATTTTTTCTGTTTCAAATTTTTATTCGTTTTAATTTTACTTGTTTTATTTTATTTGTGTCAAATAATATTTATTATTTTTTATTTGTATTGAAAAGAATTTTTATTTAAACCAAGTATTTAGGAAATTTACTATATAAATTAGGTTTCTATTAAAGAAAATATAAACAAAAAATTTTAGAGAAATCTTCAATTCCTTTGGAAGTGAATTCTTTTTTTATTTTGCTCCAATTTGGGCCCAAAGTTTAGTTTGATTAATTTTGTAAGTACTTAATCGCCAAGGGGTTAAATATCAAGCAATAATTAAGGATAATTATTAATTAATAATTTTGGTAATTTCAGAAAAATGAGTAAATTTTCTGTATGGAAAATAAAAAGTCTGGCTTGAATATAATATCAAAACTTTAGAGATAGAATAAATGGAAAATTAGTCAAGGAATTGATGGTTCTCACAATAGGAAAAATCAAAACAAAGTTTCTGACACACGCCAAGGAACTTTAACAATAGTAACAACAGAGTTTTTCTGCGGATATCAAATTGAGACAAAAAACGAATTAAAAGTGTTGCGAAGCAACGTTTTGATTAATTTTTTGTCTCAATTTGATCAAAATAATTAAAAATAGAAAAAATTTGATATTTACAATAGAAAAACAGAAGCAGTGAATAAATAATAATAAAGTTATGATAAAGTATGATAAAGTATGATAAAGTAATGATAAAGTAGAATTAAGTACAACACAAAAGAGAAAATTTACGAAATAAACTCACCTCGCTTTCGCGACCCAATCTCCGGAAAAGTTCATCACTCTCGAATTTGGCTTTTTGATCGGGAACAACGCGGGGCATCTTGAAGACAAACCTTGGCCGTGGCTGTTCATAGAGTCCCATTCCATCAAATGGTAGGACCCCCAGACCTCCAGCTCCCCCCGCATGCTCACTCATAGTGTGCATCATCATTGGAATAATAACTATTGTTTTTCACTTGTCCAGAGAAAAAAAACTCCTCCCACTTGACGATACACTGACACCCCTACTTTTGTTTTAAGGTAAAAGTAGTAAAATCACGTTTACGTTTTTGTTGCACTTTTTCTTTTTTTTTTAAAGAGTTGAAATTATTTTCTCAATTCGTTTTTTGTTGAGAAGAGAGAAAGAAATTTGTTTCAAGTCGCGGAAGATGAAGAGATATTTGACGTGTATAAGCTTCCGACCGTACTCTGTAACGTCTCGGTGAAGACTAAGGCGTGAAGGTCACCCTCTGTGCAGGTCATTTCCCGGTTACCACGCCCTGGGACCGCCCCATCATCCCCCACCAATATTAGGTACAGTAGTTTTGAACCAATCAGCCTTCCCACTTTCATGGTGAAGTTAGCATTTTTTTTCTGGTTTTGTAGTTTATTTTTGTTTATTATAAATAATTAGATGCGGAAAAATAATATTTTTTGAAGGATTTTAGAAGGGTGGAAATAATTTATTTGGGGGTTGTTTGAAAAAGTTGGATATTTTGGGTTTTTGATTATTTTTTTTGGGGTCATTTTTGGGTTTTTACTTAATAAATTTTGTAAAAATTTATGACTTTTATTATTTTCTTCTTTCGATTTGTTTTTTCGGAATGGAAAAGTTGTTGGCGATAATTTTCGAGAGTTGATGATTTATTTAAACAAAAATTCTGTCACTAATTCCTAATCCATAATTTTTGTTTATTACAAATAATTAGATGCGAAAAAATAATTTTTTTTGAAGAACTTTGGAAGGGTGGAAATGATTTTTTGGGGGTTGTTTGAAAAAGTTGGTTATTTTGGGTTTTTGATTATTTTTTTTGGGTTTTTACTTAATGAATTTTGTAAAAATTTATGACTTTTTTTGTTTTCTTCTTTCGATCTTTGGTTTTTTCGGAATTGAAAAGTTGGTGGCGATAATTTTTGAAAGTTGATGATTTAGAAGCAAAACGTCTGTCCCTAATTATATAGTAATTTTTCTACTGACATTTAGTTAAAAGTAACTGATTGGTAGTTATAAATAATTTATCAGTAGATTTTTTTAACTAATTCAATTACTCAAGTTTAAGGGGACCCGGACCCGACATTTCAACTATAATAGAATATAATTGGAAAAATTTTTTATATTTTTTTCCTGACACTATTTTGATTCAGAAATAAGGTGCAAAAAACAAAAAACATTTTCATGATTTTTTCGGAAATTTAAAAATTTAAAAAAAAATTTTTTTTTGTAACTTTTGACAAAATTAAAATTTCACAAAATCCAAGCCCTTAATTATAAAATGAAGTGTAAGAAACTCATTTAAACAAAAACCATTAAAAAATAATAAAATTTGTGAAAGAAGAAGCATTTTTTTGTAAATTTATGGTTTATAATATTACCATAAACTTATAAAAAATGCTTCTTCTTTCACAAATTTTATTATTTTTTCATGGTTTTTGTTTTAATGAGTTTCTTACACTCCATTTTATAATTAAGGGCATGGATTTTGTGAAATTTTAATTTTAATTTTTTGTAAATTTATGGTTTATGGTATACCATAAACTTATAAAAAATGCTTCTTCTTTCACAAATTTTATTATTTTTTCATGGTTTTTGTTTTAATGAGTTTCTTACACTCCATTTTATAATGGAGTGTTTCTTGTCAATACTACCAGTACTGTTTTTGCTGACAATTGTTTATATATTAGATTGTTTAAAGAAGCTAATTCTCTCTCTAATAGAATTGATTTTTTTTCACACTCAATTAGAAGTTTTTCCACTCAACTGCGTGTATTACTTTCTGAAACTAATTAAGTGTCAAAATATATTTTTTTTTTTGTATATATTAATTTAATTATGAGTACTTTGTACAAAAGGGCATTTTTTTCTTTGTAGCCCGTTTACATGTGAAAATAATAAAAATAATAATTAAGGGCATGGATTTTGTGAAATTTTAATTTTAATTTTTTGTAAATTTATGGTTTATGGTATACCATAAACTTATAAAAAATGCTTCTTCTTTCACAAATTTTATTATTTTTTCATGGTTTTTGTTTTAATGAGTTTCTTACACTCCATTTTATATTTAAGGGCATGGATTTTGTGAAATTTTAATTTTGTCAAAAGTTCAAAAAAAAAATTTTTTTTTTAAATTTGTTAATTTCCGAAAAAATCATGAAATTTTTTTTTTATTTTTTCACCTTATTTCTGAATCAAAATAGTGTCAGAAAAAAATACAACATTTTTTCAATTATATTCTGTTATAGTTGAAATTTCGGGTGCGGGTCCCCTTAACTAATTTTTCAGTTATGTTTTATTGAAAATCAGTTATTGTTTCACTGAAAACTATAGTTATTATTCTAACTGATTCAGAAGCATAAAGTCAATCACTGATTGTCGCAGTTAAAACTATATATGATTTTTAACTGATTCAAATTTGGAGAGTAACTAAAAATTAGTTATCCATATTATATCAAATTAATTTTTTCTGTGAGTTAAACCAAAGTGCTAAATTTTAATTAGTAAAATTCTTCTAAAAAGAGGTAAAATTTCAGTAATATTGATAAAGTTATCTTCATTGACGATTTTTCCGATTTTGATCAGTGACTAATTGTTTGTAAATATTTATTAACTTTTTAGCAGAATTTCACTAATTGTCAGTCATTTAATTTACTAAATGAATTAGTGAAACTGTTTTATCGAGTTTTAATAAAAAAAACCACTTTTAAAATGTTTGAAATAGTAAACATTTTTTATTAATTTTTATTAATTAACTTTTCGGTTTTGAATTAGTAAATTATACTAATAAATAGTAATTTCTACTACATTGTTAGTGAATTATACTAATAAATAGTAATTTCTACTACTTTGTTAGTAAAATTTACTAATTCAAAACAAAAAATCATTTTACTAATAAAGTAGTAGCAATCATTATTTATAAGTAAGATTTACTAATTCAAAAGCAAGTCAGTCACTAATTCAAATTAGTAAACATTTTTACTACTTCAAATTTAAAGTGTAGACAAATAAAATGTTTTTCTAAACCAAATAAAACTTGGTTAACCAAAATCAAATTTTGGTGATCCTATTCAAATTTATTTAAAACAAATAAATAATTTAGTAAGCTCATAGTCAAATATATGAATCTTGCTAATTTTTCACCAAAACTTTGGAAAAAAATTGAAAACTATCAAAATTAGTAATATTTTACTTCACTGTTTTATTTGTATAAAATTGATACCAAATTGGATCAAATTAATACTATTTAGATTAAATTTTGATAATATTGCACGCAGAGAAATGGTTTTTGAAAACCAAGTTAAAAACGCTATTTCACATAGTAAAATATCGAATCATTATGAGATATAATTAAAAAAACTACCAGTTCTAATATTAAGTACTATTTCATGATTAATAGTGCTATTTGTACATAGTAGAAATTACCATTTTTTAAAAATGGTATCTTGAATTATTTTACATAGTTTTTTTAACTATGACGCGTTAGATGTTTTGCAAAGTGTGTAGTTATTTCAGTTAATGCTTTAAAGTATCTTTTACTAAAGTATACAAAGTATGGAATATTATTTTAAATACACCAAATACAATTTAAGAAAAGGAGAAAATATTATTTACAATACGGCAATTATGATGCTAGTCAGTCAAAATAGTATCTTACATAACGAAAACTCTCCATTAAAAAGTGTTTTATAACATTAATGCATATTATTTTATGCCATTAGAAATAACTAAAAATGTGTATTTATAATAGCAGTAAGTTCTACTTGTTGTAGGAGTTTATACTATTTCACATAGTAAAGAAATCAAGGAGAAAAATTGCCCCTTAACGTCTGAATATAATAGCTGCAAGACCCTTGCGCTATGAGTGGACCGTACTATTTCACATAGTAAAAGATCTTTTACTATGTGAAATAGTACGGTCCACTCATAGCGCATGGGTCTAAGACCTACTAAACCAAGTTAACGCACTGATTCAATGAATAACTGAAATTCTTTTTTTACATGGTGGACATTACCATTTTACACTGTGAAATTACATGTGTTCACAACACAGTACATTTTTTTTGTAATAGAAATGGCCATCAGCATCGTTTTTAGTTCTAAAAATAGACTTTCTGTATACCAACGTGTACTGTATACATTCAGTCGTCTCTGAAAACTCTAAACTTAAAGACGTTATTCGTAAAATTATTTTAAATTAAAATTTTTATTATTTAAATTTAATAAAACATGCATAAAAAATTAAAAAGTGAAATAAATGTTTGTTTGAGTGATTAAACTTTTCGCGAAAAAATCGTTATTTTAAGTACTTTTTGATTTATACATGAACATATATATAGTATAGTGTTGAATGTTGGCGTCATGACGCCAAAAATGTCCTGAAATACTAAAGGCGCTATCGAATTTAAGGTAAATATTTAAAAATTATAGTACTATTAAATTAGTTAATATTTAATTAATTAATTAAAGTTACACAAATTAACACTGCTTTCTGAACATGTAACTTGGAACTATTAGTATGTCTGTATACAGGATATTTGAATATTCTATATATATTTTATTTAATAAATGCTGACTTTATTTAATTTTACAGACGCTCAAGATGCAGTGCTTTTACACCTTTTGTCTACCATGATCACACCAATACAGATGAAGTACGGATCAACAAACGAAAAGCGAAAAACTAACCAAGGTGCAGCAGTTTAGTTTGGAAAAAGTTTATAAATGGTACAGTTAGTCATTTGAAAACATTGAATACATTGCTAAAAAGTGAATTTAATTTTTAAGATGACGTCAGTTTTTTCGTAAAAAAATGAGCAATTTGAAATTGTGTAATTATAAGCGCAAGACTACAAATTGAAACCATTATAATTAAGTGTATTCATTATTTTAAACTTTTGCTGTATATATATTTATTTTAGATTAATAAAAATTATTATTGATGATTTAAATTAAAAATTTTACTTTTAATTTATTAAAACTTTTGTTTCTAGCAATTTCAGTTATTCCACAAAATTACAATCCTTATTTAAAATAGTTAAAATTTCCATGAATTAGTGAAATTTGACTGAGAATCAGTGACTCTATTCTCGCGATTTGAATCAGTGAAATTTCACTGAAGATCAGTTAAAAATGATTGAAATTTCAGTCATTTTTCACTGATTGGCCAATTAAAAAATATCTGAAATTTTCAATATGTGTGACATAAATTTTCAGTAGTTTTTTAATTGTCGAATCAGTA